AATATAAACTGTGAAATATTCAGTGATGTGAGAGCAATACAGTACACGACCTATCAGTGAAACACGAACATTTAATATGAAATACATATCTCCTTCGCTGGCATCAAGTCTTTTATTTGACGAAATTATGTTTTTGGAAAAGTGCTCAAAATATTCAATGACCTGAAACACAACTGAAATTGGCCAAAAAGGATTCAGGTCTGGGCGATGTACTGGCAGTCTTTTATAGTTCCATGGCACCATCCTTTGTCGTGAATTTGTGTAAGTGAATGTATATCTGGTTCATATGAGCTATTGGGAAATCTTCTTCTCTGAATAGATGCATTCTCCTGACGGATTGAATTATAAGTAGTCTAATAAGCTGACGTTTCATCAGTTTTTCTCAAAAAATTTTTCAACGAAAATCCAATGTATACATTTCTCAACTCAAAGTTTCTCTACCACCTTGATAACCAATTACTTAGACGAATTCATCATGAACTGCTTTCAATGAAAAAATCTTATTTTCTATCGTTTCTGTCGATTTTCGTATTATTTCGGAATTTTCGTCTTCGTAAAAATGTATGTGTCTTTTATAATTCTTCTTCAATTAGTGTTTGACTTTATTCTGGATATGGACCTATTTCAGTTTTTGATACTTGATAAGTGAATGTTGAATACCTGACTGGAATTGATCTATTCAAAACACTGTGTCCTCACCGAAACAGAAATGCTGTTTCCCGACGCGCGAATCGATAAACAAGTTAGCACGTTCCAGGTGATTGAAGAAACTTTCCTGGGTGGGTTAACATAAATAAACGACGCGTGTTTATTGATTCCAATTTATTGCTTGAATGCATATTTTTCATGACGTTATTATAACGATATTCACCTCTCGCCCAAAAATTTGTTCCTCAAAACAAAAAACATGAATATTTTCAACATAATCTTCAAAATAATGTTCACCGGGAGAAATTTTATTATCGTCTCATTGGAAAAATAGACTTTGAGTGAACACCATTCTAATCATTTCGCGAATCTGTTCACTTGATATTTTTCACTTCAGCTGTGAACGACATAGCGTTTTTGAAAAATAGCCAACGATAATGTTTGAAATGGTGTCACCAACACTTGAAGTAAACCCTTCGCGTTATGCTACTATGTATTCAAACCCCAGTGGACAAATTGGAATGATTATGCCATTGCCTGTATTTCCAGTTCTTTATTTTCTAGTAATGAGTAATTTTTTCATTTACATTTGACAGTACAGTGACAATTCAAATATACTTCGATGAATTTTTTTCTTTACAGTACTGGATGTTCAAATTCAGGGATATCACTCAAGATCACTATGACCCAAGGAACAAAACATATTTGCAGACGAATTTTGCATCAATCAGTTCCATTATTCATTCCATTCCCACTCTGGTGACAACTGTATTGGTTTCAATGTTTGGACACAAACTTGACGTGAGATTCCGTTTGTTGAGCACCCTCTCCATTTTAACTGCGACTTTCATACTTTTTACAATATTTGTTGTCGTTGATACAGATTCATGTGAGTACTTTTGGCAATTTGATTTCTCTCAGAAAAATGTAAGGAATGATACAAACGGGAGTAGTGGCAAATAATATGAAAATTTTGTATTTCTAATTTCATTTTCGAAATTTCATTCAAATTTCAAATCACGTTTACTTGTATACACAAAATTTAAGAAAAAGAATTCGGAATGAATGATACCATGCTGTAATATTTTTCAATTGTTGAAATTCATTTGAAATGTTGCATATGTAAGATGTCACAACTGTATGTCAAATTTTTGCGTTCAATGATTTTTTGCAACTCTCGCAGTTTTTGTAACTGTTCCTTGAGGATTCCTGATGAAGACCTCTCCTTTTAGCAGATTATTTCGGTCTTGGCTCACTTTTTCATTTTCATTGACTCGCTTCCTTTTTTTTTGTCAGGTTCCCATTTTTTTTATCTGAAATATTTCAATATCACAATTCACTCCTTCTGCGATGTTCAGTAGTATTATACGTGCGGGCATTAATAAGCAATTGATTTCACGAATGACTTAGAAAAAACCAGACTATTTCATAATCATACATCAANTTCTACGATGCTGTTATTGGGGCTATATTAATAACAGTGCTGTGATTACTTGCATTAGGTATTCATGACTATAACTGAGGGCTCTTCTAAATTTATCAATAGCTGGTATTCAAACCAATGCAGAAAATTTTGTTGGTTCATTTCTCCGTGGTGATCACAATTCTTTGTTTTTGAACAAATATTTAGGTCTGCCCCACAAATAAACCCTGTACTGCATCCGGCATGAAGTACAATATATCTTGAAATAAAAAAAGCAGCTAGTGCTATCAAAGATCACATTTCGAATGGCACAAAAAAATTCATACAAATTTAACTTCCTTTCGTCAGTTATATGTTCAAGTCATTGTATTTCACTCATTTTCACTGCCCTGAAGAAGCTTCCCATTGAAAGCGAAAACTTGGCAAATAACGGAGGTAACGAAGGGAGTTTTATGATTTTTTTTTCAGAAATATTCAAAATCACAATTCAATCCTGAATGGTGAAACCAGCAAGTAGGGAATCAACAGATATTATGTTATCCATTGAATACATCTGTGCATTTTTTGTTTGTGAATGTTTGTGAATATAATGTCATTTTTACCCACAATAATTCTCATTTATCTCTAACAGGTAAATAACTGCTGATTCAATCCTTCAACATCAAATTACCAATTCAATATCAGCAAGATCCTTCTGCAGAACGAACGAGAAGCGAGAGAAATCGATTGGATATGATATTTCCGTATTGAACAGTTTCAATCCGAAATGTTGTCGATAGCTTAGCTTGATCTGCATAAACCTCATGTTATCACTTAACAAATGTCCCATAATGAAACCAGTACAAATATAACGAATAAATCAGTGAACGTTGACAATCGATTTTGTATTGGTATATTTTTCACCGTCATCAACAAATGCTAGAAGTAGTTGGTCATTGAAAAGTCTTGTCTGGAATAAAAGAAAACTTGATATTTCATTGATTTCAATATCGGTTCATTTAACTGTTTGATGGCATATTTAAATATTCAATTTTGTTATAGGGCAGATGGGTTTTTTCATTCTCACCATGGTGGTCACTATAGTGAATTCAAGTGAGTACTTTTCAATGTATCTTCATTTTAGGAAAAGAAAATATATCGTTTCTCGAAGTCTGCGGAAGTTGGGCTGCGGATACATTTCATTGTAATTATGTCCTTGAGAGTTCAATTTCTGAATGTCGATATTCTTTGCGGAATGAAAATATAAGTACTCAAGTTGAAATCGATTGGTTTGCAGTTACTTATAATGATTCCTTTGAGAATATGGGCCTATTAGCTCCGATATTGTGTCATTCAATTTTCTGAAATTTCCGATAATGAAACTTGAAATGCTCGATGATTTTCAATGAATAAAGTTTTTTTTTTCTAAGGACTCTATTTCTTCATTCATACATAATCAAATCTGTCTCAATCAGGAGTTTCTATTTTGAGTTTATTTTCATTACCTACAAATTATGATGATTTTTTTTAGTTGCAGGAATCCTTTTGGGAGTTACAAATTTCGCAATAATCGCAAAGTTTCCGACAGCTTACTTAAAATTCCACATGTATGGAAGTACAACAGCAGGAATTTTCAGCTCTATACTTCAGGTAATATGTTTGTCTGCCGGAGGAAATTCTACTCAAGTTGGTTTATTGTATTACCTTGTCGGTACATCGATATTGGTTGTGACTGTGATAACGGCTTATTCAACAAAATACCTTTCATTTTTCCAATTTTACATGGGTGATACTTCAGAAAGTACAAGAAAACCAATGCCATCTTTATCAGTATTGATGGAAGTTTCAAAGAGGATGTGGCCATTCCTTGTATCAATGATATGGGCGTTGCCTACATTTGCCTGGAGTTCTCCCACTATTTTGATATTGATAGTACCAGAAAATTACAAACGAGGCGATCCTTGGACAGGTGAGTCTAATTTATATTTCAATTCGCAACAGAGATTCACACAACAAGTTGAGTTGATCAAATGACTTAGAGATTACAGAACTCACTGAGAAAAATAAAAAATTATTTTATTGGAAATATAGGTTCTCCACGACCTTACAAATAATGGACCCAAATAAATCAATAAAGGTCAATGTAGAAAATATCCTAGATGGTGAGTGGCGATATGAAAAATAGACCCGGTGAAGTTATTGCATAGGAGATGAGCACGTGAGCAGATCAATGAACAGATAGATACTCCTTCGGGTTTGAATGTTCTGTGCTAAGGTTCGTGTAAACTGTAACGTCGTTTCTACATGCATCTAGGAAATTTCGAAGGATTACAATCATTTCCAGTAATAATTTGAGGAGTAGGACCTTGGACTGACATTATTATTTCTGAAAAAAATACATATATTTTTCAACGCGCCACTTTTTTGCGCGACTAATTGCAAACATGCAGCGCCGTACTTTCGCCGGCGACCTCTTGATGCACGCCGAATTGTGCGCGACATTTTGTCAAGGGACCACCCATGTAACAATTCCATAACAGTTTATATTTATTAAGGTTTCAAAAATGCTTCAATATATTCAATACATCAACATCGGATTTGAAGTAACCTTAAGATAAACTAAAATTTCTTGAAGACCACTTATTCTTGAACAAAGATTTTGATTGACTCTTTGAATTTAAATAAAAATGCTCTTTGCTCTGAATTTCCTATCGATCTTATACTGGTTTTATGTTACTCCCAACATAGGCCATTTTGAAACTAATATGGTATTATTAAGAATTGGATAGAAAAGTTGGTTTTAAAACAAACTGTTCTGGGAAAAATGGTTTTGATGCAGAGAAGTAAAAGTGATGAAACTGAGAGAAGCTCTTTTGAACCATGGCAAGAAAATCATAGTGCAATTGAAACCAGCGTTAGTTTTAAAGAAGGTCCTTTGACTTTATCTTTCAATCCGTTCGGTTATAAAAGCAATGCCAGAGGATTACAGGACGAAAACTACGGAAATTTACGCAATCAGGAGATTCAGAGAGTTTTAGATTTTCTGCATTTTCATTAAAGACCTTCATCCCAGTGAATACGCCTATGGGTACAGAAATGAAATTTTTAGAGGGAAATTACACTTGCTAGTGATTGGAAAGGGTGCTGAGGTGTCCTTTTCTGTAATTGAAATATAATTAGTGTAATACAATGTAACGGAATGACAGTAATTTGCAAAACTCACCTCGTTTTTTAATGAATTTTCGTCAAATGAAAAAGCACTACACGCTTCAATTATAAAACTGGCAAAATTTGTGAGGTTAGGATTCGATTCGAGCGCAAGACCACTTTGAATCAATAAGGTCACGATCTTGAATATATTAAAGCATATTGGTTTCAAAAGGAAACGTAAACACACTCTTGCGAGAGTGTTTCAAATATTGTGAACAATTAGTTTTAATCATGCCATGTTTTACTGCAATAACGACTCCACCTTCTTGGACATTTTCAATAGTAACCGAAAAGAATATTGTTATTCAAATAATTTCGTCTTGGATCTTCTTGAGAAACTGAAGTGTCGGAATATGCCATTGAATTGAAGAAATGCATTGAGATGATTAGATGCAAAATAAAATTTGATGATATTTTTTGATATTTTCAAATGAGAGAAAAATACATTGAATTAGTGGTGCTTGACTATGTTGAAATGTTTTATTATATTTCATCAGAGAAGAGCCATTCGTTGGTGAACTTTTCACCAGAATAGTTTGCTTTCGAATATTATTTCATGATATGTTTAGTATACGTATGCGCTTTAGAATGTTACCATTTCGCCCGCCATTATACAGACTTAAAGTTGTCGGGTGTTAGTGAACAAGATGAAACTCTAATGGAATTTTTCAATTATTTTTCAGTTAATTCAGTCCTCTGCAAATGAATTTCGAAAGGAAAACGTCAGATAATGAGTTTTAATTTATGGATTCAAGTCGCCTTGAAAAACTTCTAAGGAAAATAGAAATAAAATTCAATGGTTTTAATAAAGTTCAAAAATTTTGTCTTGAGGGCCTTTTAAGATGTGCCATTTTTGGCTAAAAGCTGTTTTGTGAAGGTCTCGAGACTATCTTGAAGATCACTTGATTTTATCAGAAATTTTATTGTGTAGTTTTGAAGCGACCTTGAAGATCGAAATGAGAGCGTTAATGTTACTTGGGCAACTATTTGTAACCTTATTTTGAGACATCAATTCATCAAGGTGAAGTTGCGAATCACAATTGATTCACGTATGTTGCTTGAATCCTTCTGGTCCTTTTGATATCGCATAATTTTCGATATCGTTGATGAATAATAAGAATGGCAGAGGGCTCCAAGGATAACCTTGAAATCGAACAGTTTTGATATGTCACGAATTGGTGTAACCGTCAAATCAAAATCTCTCACCAATTTCTTTCGGTAGATGTTGCTCACTATCGATATTATGTTCTTGATGTTTCACCTTCATAGAGTTTTTTTTCACAGCTATAGTGGTAGTACTAGTGGAAAGTTAATGTATGTGTAACTATTTGGTACAGTCCATTGTGAGATTTTGACTGAAGAGTTTATAGTAAGTGAGTGATTTCCCCACGACGGCGCCACCTATGTGATTCACATAGAACTCAATCCTCGAATTTCGAAGATGAGCGGGGCTTCCCAAGGTGTTCAGTTGCAAAGCTAAGCTTCGACATCAGCCCACGAGATTCGTCTTCTGTCTGTCACTACAGCTTGATATAGGTCTCATCAATGATTCTAGGCCCTCAAATTCAATCAGAAGATCACAACCGTGAGAGTTCATAGAACAATTTACTTCCTACTCTTGAAGAGTTTACTTCATTACTCCATCTCAGCTTTAAAAGTATAGCAATATTACATAAACGTATGGTATTTCCACTATATTCTACAAGATTGTTTTCCATAATGATATATTCACCGGAAAAATTCTGCATTCCAACCAGTACCAAATATGACAATAACCATAGAATATCCAGTTTACAGAAGCACAGTTCCAGGATTGATTACCTTCTCTTCGTGAATTGGTGAATAAGTCTTTGAGAAAATAGTGAAAATTCATGTAATCAATAAATAATAACTTAGAAAAACTAACTAATTGAATAATCATTACCTACCTAATCCTGAATGATCCCCATGTACAGAAACGAATTTGAATAATATATATACGTTTGGTCATCGGTCAGGTAAACAGCGCTATACACTTTTTGACCTCACAGAAAGAAGTGGTGGGGAACACCGTCAGGTGTTAGATATTTTGAACATAAGATACACTGACCGTCCCATAAAGTACCCAAGCCTCTGAAAAAACTATTCATTCAGAAATCCGGTCACGAAATGTGTATAGGTTTCAAATATGGTCAAACAAAGTTTAAGCCGGAACAGTTGAATATATTGTATTTTTATTTGACGTAAATTTTCAATTTAGCATAATATAACATAATGTTACACTACTGAATTTTCAAATTTCAATATGCCTTTGTTTCGCAGCCTAAGAACGCAAAATGGTTTATACTCTTCAGTCTGATGAAAACTTTCACATTGAATCCCCTTTTCTTATTCTGCAACGAGTCACCAAAACACCACCTACCAGTATTATTTCCACACGACTGGCAGTACATCACCATACTTGTTATCAATACAATTTTGTCTGGTTATGTGGGCACTATATCTTTTCTCAGTACACCCAAGTGAGTATATTCATAATCCATTTTTCTGTTTTCGATAGATAATTATGAAGTTTTCAAATCTCTGATTGAAAATTAATGAGATGACGATATTATGAAATGAAATACTTTCTGAAAATTCAGAAATTAAAATTAAATTCTTCTCAACCATTGAGTTATTTTTATTTTGATGTATTTTCAATAATTGATATCAGGGTTGATTGATATTTTCAAGATGTGTTACATGAACGTAACTGGTGTTCTGATATATCTCGAGATGTTTCTGCATGTTGTTCATTGCGTAAGTTATTACGACTAGATTTCTGATGGGACAGTTCCACTATTATATTTCTGTCGTCTTTCAGTTAGCTTCAAAGTGAGAAATATGATATAAGCTATAAACATCATATAAAATCATCCTTAGACGTTTCAAAACAACAGTAAATCCAATTGTGGTTTATTTTTTTGTACTATTTCTTCACATATGAAATTATCAAAAATCAGTCAACAGAAAACTCGATTTCGAAATTGTTCATCGTACTGATCTATTTTTGCATACACAGTTTGTAGAATATCCTCGTCTGATGATTGATTTTTTGTTTCAGTTTCGCCAAAGACAAAACTGAAGAGGCTTTCATTCTGCTGCAAGCAGTTGCAATGGTGTTGGGAAGTGCCTTTTCCCCGCTGAGTGCAGTGTGGGTCAATAATGTTCTCTAATATATTTATATGAAAACAAAAAGTATTGTATTTTTTATACACTTTTGTGCATATATCTATATAAAAAAAATGTATAATTTTTTCTTTCATTCACAGAATTTCACATATTATCCAATTCTATTCATATAATGACAGAAACATCAAAGAAATTATGATATAAGTGAAATAATGAGATTATTGAATATACACACTAATATAGAGGGTGGGGTACCCGATTTTTTCTTGAATTCCTGCATCTCATTATATGTACATTGATTGAGGCTGTTGAAAGAAATTATTTTGAAATCTATAGGATGGCTGAAGAAAGTGTGACATATCGAAGTTGTGCTTTTGTTTATAGAACACCCTTCATTTCGTTACACTTTCAAATAAGTCAGTGAAAAACAGTATGATTTCATATAAGGTACTATGTACCTAACTAAAACCGTTCTCGGGTTATTAATTTCAAAACTTTCCAATCAGAATCATTCGCGACTGTTTTGACGTTAGAAGCTGACTTATTCAATTGCATGAAAACTGTTCCAAATGAGACTCCTTCTATAAGTGGCAATCTTTCTCCTCCAGTTATACTGCCAACTGTTTGTCGTTCAAGTAACTCAATACCTATTTCTAGTTGGAATGTTGAATTCAATGGAGATCGTGAAACCTTGTATGAGTTTTTAAAACGAACCACTGAATATGCGCATTCACGCAAGTTATCAGAAGTAGACCTGTTTGAATCGGCAGTTGAACTCTTCGAAGGGGACACTTTCATATGGTTTCGAAGTATCAAACCATCTGTTTATAATTGGGACTCACTTGTTTCTCTTCTCAAAAGAAATTTTCTTCATGCTGACGCGGATGAAAATATTTGGGACCAGGTAAAGAAGCGAAAACAAAAAGAAAATTAATCCGTTTCTATTTATATTTCACATCTTGAAGTTTTGTTTGATAGACTTTCTTGACCTCCTGCCGAGATAACCAAAGTTAAACAGATGCGACAAAATATTTTGCCTGAATACGTAAGCCAATTAGCTTTACAAGAAATATATACAGTTTCAAAATTTTCCGCCTATTGTAGAAAGTTAGATTTTGCCTGGCAGATTTCGACGTTCAAATTTTTTCTTATGGATGATCCTCAAAAATTTCACTTGAATCACTACTTTGTGTTCTATATACAAAGCCAGGCACAGAAAATACATTTTCAAAACTGCATCCTTCACAAATATAATAGGTATCGGTTTAAGCCATTCTATCACCTTTTACATTCTTTTTTTCAGACATATACCCAGAGCCCACCAGTGTGACATTACTGAAAGCAGATTTTTTTCCAGTACCTAACTTTTCACTCTACGTTACACTATACTATGAAAATAAATGGTATGACTGAACGGAAGAACAAGAGTTCCAGTTGATGTCAATTCATAAATTGATCGTAACATGAATTTAAATAATCAAAATTAACAATATAGACTTTGAAACAGATGTCAGCATCCCGATTATGCTTTTTTGGAGTACTACAGTTGACTGTTCAGAAGTATCCTGCAATAATCCTGTAAGTATCCTGCAATAATTTACTAACAAATATGTTTGCCGACGACACAACTTTCTGTATAATACTTGAAGAGGGGACTGATCATTTACCTATTTATCAAGATATTATGACACATGATAAGATTTGGTTCACAGCCAATGATCTTTTTTTGAATGAGACCAAAACCCGTTGTGAAATCTTTAGTGTAAATGGTACAAATAGTTTGGTTGAAAATGAGCACATAAAATTTCTAGGTATAGTTTTAGATCCACAACTGAGGTGGACAGCCCATATAAACTGTTTATGTAACAAGCTGTCGCAAGTGATATTTGCACTAAGAAAAATACGACGTGTCACAAACATGGAAGCAACAGTATCTGCGTATTATGCATTGTTTCATAGTCACTTGATGTATGGAATACAGTGTTACGGTAATGCAGTATCTATACATATTACGAGAATTTTCACATTGCAGAAAGCGGCAATAAGATCTATTTTAAATGTACCATGTCACTCCCATATGCCGCCGATGAACAGCTGCCGGAGCTACTTTGCCATGTTTTTTTCTTTGGTAAAAGGACAAAACGGGGAAAAGGAGTAACACTGACGCCTCAACGTGCAGGGCTTTGATTGCTTTCGATTCTTTTTTACTGTATTGTTCATTATCAATTTTTTTATGTATGAATTCATGAAATGAGAGTTAGATAGAAACAGTGAAATAATTGAAAATCTATGACCCAGAGTTATATTCAGTATTAGAGTAGTAATTGGTGAATATAATAGAATTATTATGTTTTGAAATCCTTCACAAATCTCAGTTAAAGAGAAACACCAATTTTGGTTATCGCCTTCTTGTTTTTGTTTGAAACTCGTCGTATGTTTTATGTTGCACTTCATAAAAAAGAGGTGTTCATTGTTGATGTTTTTGTGGAAGTATTTGATATTGGAATGTACTGTTTTATTCCGTATTGGATTTGAAGAATAGACAGTCACGTTTTTTAATATATTCATGCACACATTTTTTTAATAAGTCCAAGGTTTTAAATTTTGTTTCGCTGATATTGAGGACACATAATTTTTTTTAGAAACTGAATTTGATTTCACAGTGATCAAATTGATTGATATTGCCAACTCAAACATTGTCTTATTTTTATTTGGATTGAAAAATTCAATACTTTCTGGATTTGTACAGGGTAAGACATAAAGTTGCTCAAAATGAATCGCGAAAAATTCCAGGTGAATCATTTAGTTGATTATGAACTAGAGTATGAGCTCGCTATACGTAAAGTTATTACGACACGTAACGTTTCCGACAAACGTAAAATGTTGAAAAGACTTTTGGATAGAGAACAATTGATTCCAGATAGTACAGTTGTTTTAGAATCATATGCCTTTGATTTTAATAAAGAGCAAGATGATATTAATAAGACTTNAGAGTTTAATCTCAAAGTAAATTTCAGAGATGATACGTGGTGTGTTCAGTCAAATCTTGTTTCTGTAGATGTAGTAGGTAACTTATATATTTCTAGAATTCTACAGCTAATGTCATAGGAAGATCTAGTACCTATTGAATGTTCTCAAGCATAAGCTGTTATAGCATCATGTCAACAAATAAGTAGCAAAGATAGGTTAGGACGTACGAATGAAATAACATAAGGCCTTCGAAAGAGGCCTTATGTCTTATCCCCATATATGCAAAATATTTTGAATAGTGAGTTAGACAAGATGTTGAAATTTGGAGTAATAGAACCATCAAATAGTCCATATTGTTCCTCTGTACTTTTAGTTAAAAAGAAGAATGGTGAATATCGATTTTGCTCCGACGGGCGTCCACTTAATTCAATTACCAAGCATGATAGTTATCCACTTCCTAATATAGAGAGAATTCTAGCTTCACTTAGAGATGCAAAGTACATATCATCAATAGATTTGAGAAAAGCATTTTGGCAGGTTCCGCTAAGCCCAGAATCAAGAGAAAAAACTGCTTTTAGTGTAATAGGTCGGGGTCAATTTCAATTTGTTACTATGCCATTCGGACTTTCCAATGCTGCGCAGACTCAACAGAGACTTGTAGACGCCATCTTCGGACCTAAGTATGAACCAAAGATTTTTTCTTACATTGATGATATTATAGTTACTGGATCAACTTTTGAGGAACATATCAATCTATTGAATGAAGTAAGGGAAAAACTGTTAGAAGCCAATTTAACTATCAATCTTGAAAAGTGTGAGTTTTTCAAAACATCACTTAAATTCTTAGGTTTTATCGTAGGTTCAAATTCTATTCGCACTGATCCTGAAAAGATCAGTAGCATGATCAATTATCCTCGCCCTAAAACTACTACAGAAGTCAAAAGATTCGTTGGATTGTGTTCATGGTACAGACGTTTCATTCAAAACTTTTCATCTGTTTTATCTCCTATAAATGACCTTCTGAAAGGAAAAAAGAAAAATCAGTCTATAGTTTGGAATGATGCAGCTGAAGGTTCCTTCATTAAAATTAAACAACTTTTAGTATCATCGCCAATTTTATCTCAACCGGATTTCACAAAAAGATTTACTGTGCAGAGCGATGCTTCTAATACCGGTTTAGGTGGAGTTCTAACTCAAGTTATTGATGGGGATGAACGTGTTATAGCATATGCTAGTCGTAGTTTGTCTAGGACAGAACGTAATTACTATTTAAAAGAATCGCAGTAATCAATCCACTCCCATATGCCGCCGATGAACAGCTGCCGGAGCTACTTTGCCATGTTTTTTTCTTTGGTAAAAGGACAAAACGGGGAAAAGGAGTAACACTGTACACTATCACAGACAGCGGTGATGTCAGTAGATCTTGCGTTTCATCAACGTATACATGTGTCTGGCGATCGTTTAATGAAACAGTGGACTCAAATTCATTCACCACATTTTCGGTAGGACGATTATGGCGACCGTGAAATAGGCGAAGTGCGCGGTACGTTGCCCGAACAGAACACCCTACATATATCATTATTTTTACGTGTTCTTGCACCCTATATCCGCCCATGGTGATTTGGCAAAACTGACTGAATAAATGACAACTAATTTGAGACATGTAGCTTCAATAAGAAGTCTCTGTTCAAAAACCCTGTATAAACATAGAGCAATTCATGAATGAACTGAAATAATCACTGGAAGTTGCCACACTATCCAACTTGGGCGTGATAAAATAAGAAAATATTCAATCGCATTAGGGAATTAAATTAACTTAGAAATATGTCACACAAAATGATGTTAATTAAAAATTGCAAATTTTTAAAATATGCTAAAAAAATGTCAACTTAGAGATTTATTATATTGACAAACAAAATTTACAATAATTAGGCAAAGAGCAATAGGTAAAAGAGAATGTTTCACATTTCACAATTCAATTTATCATTTCAAATTGAGGTGAAAGTAACCAGGTTCAACTCAATGCCACAAAAACCCAGGAATCGGTTTTCTCCAAGGAGATGAATGTCTCCAAACCGGATATAATAATGTCAGGTCAGACAATTCCGCTTTCTGCTTCGATA